TTCGCGCGTCAATTGTCAAAAAAGAACCCGCCCTAATATTAATAACAAACAAACTCGCATTTAAATGTTGCGGGGTTTTCTCTTCTTATATTTAGAACATAAACAATGTCTAAATGGCTGCGTTTTAACTCCAAAAAAGCAAGCAACGCAGTCAGTAATTGCCAAATTTGCAAGTGCTCATTTTCAACTAAAATCGGAACAGGCAAATTAGGACGAATTTCAACAGAAAACCAGTCTCAAACTTCAAATCGTGAGGGAAGTCGTGCGACCACATTAGCATTTTAGATAATGTGTGCTTCGCTGTCGCCATTGTTATAAATAAATTGTCTCACTTATCAAATCGTGTGTGCAATTCTTGTTGGCGGCGGAAAGTACGAAATTTATTTCAGTTATTTCATTTGGTAAAGAACTCTACAAAAGAAGAGAGCGTTCAGAGTCCAGATCGTTTCGTTTCAAACGGCAATTTAATACCGTCTTCTGTTTCGCTCTCTCAGCGAAGCCTTGTAAATCGCAAAGTGTTTCGAATAGGCTTACATACAACTGCATCTCAACATCCTGAACCAATAATTTTCTTGAGGAACATATAACGTATCAAGTCTGTTTGAAATTAATGAAACTCAAGTAAAGGTTACTATAGTTTACCCCAGTCGTAATGTTGCTATTCCAACACCTCACGGCAAGCAATCCCCATTGGCATAACGGCAAAAACATCTCTTCCTTCAAGTAAACAATAAACAGTCTGTTCTTGTTCCATTTATAATCGAAAAATGTGATCAATTTTCGAATTTTAAGCTTATCGAGAGCATTTGTGATGAATCACTGACCTAATTATAGAATCCAACAGCAAACAGCCAATCAGAATGCCGCGTTCGTGGGCGAACGCGGAAAGTACAAAATACCGGGCCTTGCTTGCAGGCCCACTATCAGTTCCCTTGGGCCTGCACGCGGGCTAGCGTGGATGGTACGAAGTTGGAATTCATGCATACTATTAAAGTCCCTGCCAAAGATTTTAATAATATATATTGTATTTCATGGGTTATTGCATGAGAAAAAAACTCGCAAAAAGCATTGCAAAAATGTATTCTATTTGTTTCCATCTATTTACTACATTTTGTGTGATATACAAACCTTATACTGCTTTATAATAAAAGCTCTAACATGCAAAAGAAAAATCCTACAAATTAGCTGCGTGTTCGTTTATTATTTCTACTCATACTAATACAAAGCGTTCCCCATTTCTAGACTAAAACCAAGTTAATAAATAAATCTAAAGCGTTGATCAGGAGCCCCGTCACACTTGTAGCTCCCCACGTTGCTTCCCCTGTTTGCTCTACTTCCACTAACGTCTATGCACTGTCCTGACTTCTTACTCCGGAAAGAACAGTAATCTCCATGGCAGTAGTGGTGCGGTCGTGTCCACATTTGATCAGGCAGATCTTTACACGCGTGCATAGATATATCGCCATATCCATTATTCCCTTTAATATCGACGCACAATCCGGACTTTTTGTTGACTAATTCGCCATTTTTGTAAAATTTGAAATACTGATCAGCAGCGTGTTCACAATTGTATATTAAAACATTGCCACGTCCTTGGTTTCCCTCCACATCCAGACAATAACCAGATTTCTGAACTTGTAGTCTCCCATATCCTAGCAGTTTACCCCGAGAGCGGAAGTAGAAGTACTGGTCACCCATATTTTGGCAAAAATATGCAGAAATGTCACCATTTCCGTCACGGCCATTAACATCCATGCACGCTCCAGATTTGACGTTTATGATTTGTCTTGCTTCTTGTTGAATTCCTCCTCTGTCTACGAAGGTTTTTGACCTTCCATATCTCCACTTCTGATAATCGGGTATGGCTGGGTATACATCGCAATACGTTGACTTCAAATTTCCGATTCCGTCTTTGTCTGGTGTTATACAATTATGAGAAGCTTTTGAATTTCTTATCGTGCCATCTCCACACATAATAATTTGCTGATCACGATTGCCGTCACAATGAAATGTTCCAATGTTTCCACGACCATCTGCCCCATGTATGCACAGTAAATTTTGAGGGGTAAAAATTACTCCGAAAAACGAGGCTAACTAAATGTCCACAGAACGCCCCGTTTTTTGAGGGAAAATCTTAAAGGAGTAAAAATTACCCCGGGTGGGTAATTCGTAAATGGGGTAAAAATTACTCCGAAAAACGAGGGTAACTAAATGTCCACAGAACGCCCCGTTTTTTGAGGGAAAATCTTAAAGGAGTAAAAATTACCCCGGGTGGGTAATTCGTAAATGGGGTAAAAATTACTCCGAAAAACGAGGGTAACTAAATGTCCACAGAACGCCCCGTTTTTTGAGGGAAAATCTTAAAGGAGTAAAAATTACCCCGGGTGGGTAATTCGTAAATGGGGTAAAAATTACTCCGAAAAACGAGGGTAACTAAATGTCCACAGAACGCCCCGTTTTTTGAGGGAAAATCTTAAAGGAGTAAAAATTACCCCGGGTGGGTAATTCGTAAATGGGGTAAAAATTACTCCGAAAAACGAGGGTAACTAAATGTCCACAGAACGCCCCGTTTTTTGAGGGAAAATCTTAAAGGAGTAAAAATTACCCCGGGTGGGTAATTCGTAAATGGGGTAAAAATTACTCCGAAAAACGAGGGTAACTAAATGTCCACAGAACGCCCCGTTTTTTGAGGGAAAATCTTAAAGGAGTAAAAATTACCCCGGGTGGGTAATTCGTAAATGGGGTAAAAATTACTCCGAAAAACGAGGGTAACTAAATGTCCACAGAACGCCCCGTTTTTTGAGGGAAAATCTTAAAGGAGTAAAAATTACCCCGGGT